CCCACTCAAAAATGTGCGTGATGCAGGCACACAGGGACGATGACCAGCAACACGTTGCACAAAAACGGCTAATTAAGATTTCTACCTCGTTAAGCTGGGAAATTACTCGCGCCCTTAAATGTTATGTTTATTTCGACTATCTTACTCATCATCGTGACGCGCGTAATCTAGGGTTCAAACTTTCTTTCGCCTCCCGCCGCCGACCCCGCGAAGCAATTTGCAGTTGATTGTGTCGCGAACGTGATTGCACGGAATAAAAGGTTATGTGACCCCCCTCCACTCGCCGCCAACCGCTAATTTGCACGCGTGCGCACTAAGCGGATTAGAGCTCGCGTCTACGAACGCCACGATTACGGAAGTCGTATAGGTTAAGACGAGGATTTCGCGTGGCAAATCGACGAATACCGAATGTTTAAATTTCCTCGGAGATTCGTTCTGATTGACAATGCGTGATCAATACGTGTATCAATCATTCCGTTGAAGATATTCGAAGAATTATTAACCTCCTATTGTACCGTATGACTTGAAATCGTATACATGCTTGTTTATATTCTTTCCATTTTGTTTTATTTCCTGATCGCTATACTATTGTGCACTGTTGGTACATATTATTGTAGTAAATTAAATTACTCTGTTTACAGCAGTAGTGCAATTAGCAGTGCTTGGATTTTTAATTAGAATAACCTAGGAATTATTTATATATAAAATTGGTCATTTTATAAACTGTGTTAGGCAAGGAATTAGTAATAACTACTTAATTGACGAATATTCGGGTATACTATATAAAAGAAAGTGGAATAAATTGATACTAAAGAATTTCTTTTCTTATTGTTAATTCTTCTGAAGCCCCTTTTGGAACCTAACCTCTTCTTTCTAGTCTGTCCAATTTTTGTAAGATTTTTATTGATTTTTCTTGTTCTAATAGTGGTAATAAATTAACTTGATATATTAAATAGAATTAATGTTACAGAAAATATTTACTGATTTGTAATTACTTGCTTCTAACTTGAAGTTATAGCGTTATTGTACTATGAAGTGATTTATAATTAAACCTATCATAATAATAACCTTTATTAAAAATTAAAGAAAAATAAAATAAATACAACTAAATTTTTCTCAACCATCTATCTGTCAACTGCTCGTATTACACATCCAGATTAAACGAATGTAAATTATGATAAAAAATTTGGTTCGCTTTTAAAACCTGAAGGGTCACTTTTACTTTCCACTTCGTTCCTTTTTCTTCATTTTCAGACTCATTTTTTCCGAAAATATTATACCTGATTCATCGAACGATGCTTTCCCAAATCGTCCTCAGCTAAAATATACTGAAGAGAAATTTCCTTTCTTTTTAATTTATCTTCAAATCTTTAAATTAAAAAATTCTTCGAATATTTGAAAATTGTTAACCTAGTATGAACAATCGAATAATTTCGAAATTTTTGAATTTGCAGATAACTGATAATTGGAGCATTATTCTATGTCGATGTAAGAAGAAAGGTTTCCAAAATTTGATGTAATATTTAAAAAATTTTGTACAGTGTTCATTGGAAATACTGCTGATTTTGATTATTAACCCAGACTGGAGAACGACAAAACCAATGTACGATAAAACGAAGGACAATGACGCCTACAATGAAACTTCCTCATTCTAATTTCGTTGTCTGAAACACAGTACATCATTCACTGCGTTATTCAGATATAGCATGGGGCTAACGAACAAAAGTTCCGGCAACAATTTTCTATTCTTTACTTGATATATGATTATCTTCTGTTTCGATAAATTTTTAAACACCCAGTAAAGTTTCTCCTTCGTATCCGGTTTGCTCGTGCTTCCGTTTTAAAGTCAAATATATTTTTCTGAATTTTAAATATCGAATATTGCACCTATATCTGTCCAGTCTCGATTTTTGTATTTTAAATTCCATAATTTTCATAATTCTCTGATCATCGATGTTCTTTAACGCGTTAGAAAATTTCCTAATATTAGCAATAATATAATAAATTAATTACAAAAGTGTTGTTCAAAAATAAATTGAAAAAGAATACTTTTAAAAAATAAAAATAAAATAAAAAGAAAACTAAACTAAACTAGATTTTTTTACAAAACAATTTTGATTCAATATAATATCGAATATTTAAGTTAACAATTAAATTGAAAAATACTGACTTGTCTTAATAAAAATATTTCAACAAATTGCTAATGTACTGATTATGAGTACAATCTTCTTTACCATCAGATTAATTTGAACTCGTGATATAGCAAAATGTTGATTTTGACTAAAAAAATTTTGATACAGAAGGTGCAACCTTTGGGACCACCCACAGAAATTCTTCGTCAGTTATGGTGCCTCCGTTCGCATAAAAGATTATGCTCAGATCGCTACAGGTGCTACGACGTGAAAGATCGATCGATCACAGATATCGTTATACGATAGATCGCGATTTCTTCTGAAAACACATAAAGCGAATCATAACTGATATAGATAGCTCTGGATCATCATGAAAAAATGTTTTGTTTATACATAATAAAGAAAGAAAATATTAATAAAAGTAGGTTAAAACAACAATCTAAACCGTGCAGGTTGGGAACACCATAGAAATTTATGACACCGTAGGAAAGGGTTATAATATCTTCTAGTTGAAAAAACTAACTTTCGAGATTGCGAAATTCGACGAGCCTTAAGTTTCTAGATCAAGGATAACTATTAACTTCTACTTTATATTTCAGAATAAATTGAAGTTTTATGGCATTAAATCTTTAATTACGCTATGAAAGCAAATTTAATAACCATACATACCTTATCGAGAAAGAACAGTTAAATTTTATATCCTAAGCCAAATTAGTTATCTAAAATTGTGGGATTTTTTGTTCAATTAAAAAGATTTCAATAATTTCTAAACATGGTTTTTATGGAAATGTAATACATTCATTGCTCAATTAGGCACTTCCTAGATGTAATAAATTTATTTTTGATCAAACAAAATGGGAAGCTAAAGATCATGGTCGGATTTTTAATTAAATCTAAAATAAAAAGTCCAAATTATTTTATATAATGAAACGAACAACGTAAATTGGAATTTATTAGCTAATTCTGTGCAAAAAGAAAAGAAAATCAATGTAAAATGGAAAACGGAAGTGGAGACTAGTTCCTTTGAATATCAATTTTTTAAACGAACAATAAATACATAATCAGCTATGATTCTTCAATAAATCATGAAGCAGATAATCAACTCTCTGTTAAAACAACAAAAAGAAATAAATTATTTACAAAGAAAACCTAGTATTCTCAATTAGGGTCTACATTCATAAAATGAAAGTAAACATAAAAATACAAGGTTACAAATTAGATCACTAATAGAATCAATGAAACACAGGAAACAATTTAGAAGCTCATATTAACAGAAATATGGCTTAAAAAAGAAACGATGAAATATAAACTACTACATGTTACAAAGCAATATATAAAGATGCGCTATAAAAAGATTGTATCGCCTCCAAAGCAAAGCCCAAAAGCATAGACCGCAAAACGTCGGTAGCTAAAGTCTCGGTAGACCATGAAGAGTCAAGTCCAGAAGGAACAGACTGGAATGGGAACACGTACACACGCGTAACAGATTTTAAAACGTCGCGGTCCTGGTAATGTATTCATAAACGCACCTCTGCTATTCCACAAAAGGAACGTGGGATAGTGGTGTGTCTTTAAGGTTGTTCTTCCTCTTCTTCTTATTCTTTTTCCTCTTTTTTCTCCCTTTTTTGCGCAAAGATTCTTGTTTGCCCGTTTTACGCGCTCGACTGACCCAAGTCATGTACCCGTGACCTTGCGTTTAGCTGAATAACCTTTATACACGTACGAAGCCGAATTGAATCCAGTTCCACGAAACAAGACGGGCCTCTCGCCTCTTCTGTACGCTCGCTTTCATCGTTCGGTCAAATACCCGCATTATATTCACGGATATTAAATTTACGTTAGAGATGAGAACTCGGGGAAATATCCGGGGAGGTCTTACTCGCTGATTTTAATACGTCCCACGTGAAACGAATTCCACTAGCTATGATTCCACGATGGTTACTTAATCGCTGCTATACCAATGGTTGTCGTTTGCTGCTCGTGATATTTTTGGTTGATATTGGCTATTTAATTGCTTAATATAATTGTATTTGGTGAAATGTCGTTTTAATGGCTTGTTATATAAAAGGCATCCTTTTCCTAATAAATCCTCTATGAAGTAGTAAAATTCTTAAAAAAACATTGTATTTTGGAATTTGTAAGAAAAATTAATCGTAACATTGACTCTACAAAATATTTGTTATTAGAAACGAAGAAAAAAATTTAATAAATTTTCTATCTCGACCATTTCTTAATATCAAACTTTGATTTTCGCCATTTTGGTTCTCGTCATATGTTTCAAAATGAAACAGAAGGTACTGATATGTAAAAATTATGTATAAGCTATGAGAGACGAATTGGTACCTTTTACGTTAATTTTTCTTATTAATATAATTTCCCTTCTCAATAACTACTATGATTATCGATTAACTGTAATTATAAAAGCTTATCAAATATCACTCACCAAGCAGAAACTGTTCAACGATGTTTCGCTGTTGAGATTTGAATCGGCGTAACCTCATTTTTATGCACGTTTATGTCCTTTGATAACACAATACCTTTATTAATTAATAACAGTAATGAGTGAAAGCAATGAATAAGAAGTATTTAAGCATACATTAACTATATCCATATATTATTTATACCTCTTTTTTGATACATACCCGCAATCGACACTTCTCTGATTACCGACGATAAAGCACTAACGACGCTTAAAGTTGCAAGAACACAATGGCGGAAATTAACGAACAATCGTTTGCTACGTGCATTTTACATTTGAAAAGTTTTGAATATCACACATACCAACACTAAACTATTGAAATCTTATGTTTAGAATTCTTTATACAAGGGTGGTAGCACTGAATACGATACGTCAGTTGACACCTTGTCCGTAAACATAACCTAATTTCTAATTAACTTTTAGGACTCTCACATTTCTTATTAATAATATATTTTGCGGTTAATTTTACTGCATTAAGCCAGCAATATGTCGGAGCGTAAAGTTTTAAACGTAAGTAAAATTTCGTACGATTAATTTATTAGGTTCAAGAAAACGTTGTGTTTATATCATTGCTTAGATTGATGATACATAATAACTTACATTATTACAATACATTAATTATAATTCTTATACTTTAGAAATATTATCCACCGGATTTCGATCCGTCGAAAATCCCTCGTATGAAATTGGCTCGAAATAGGCAATACACGGTACGTTTGATGGCCCCTTTCAATATGAGATGCAAAACTTGTGGAGAATATATTTACAAAGGAAAAAAATTTAATGCCCGTAAAGAAGATGTTGAAGGTGACGACTATTTAGGAATACGAATTTATAGGTTTTACATAAAGTGTACTCGATGCCTTCAAGAAATAAGTTTCAAAACAGATCCTAAGAACACAGATTACGAGATTGAAGCAGGTGCCACTAGAAATTTTATGGCTTTAAAATTGGCTGAAGAACAAGCTCAAAGAGAAGAAGATGAAGAGAAAGAGGAAGAAGCTACAAATCCGATGAAACTTTTAGAAAAAAGAACATTGCAATCGAAACAAGAATTGGAACTATTAGAATCTTTAGAAGAATTAAAAGACTTGAACCGTAGACAACAAGCCATTGACTATGATCAAATGTTAGAACAATTTGATACAGAAGCAGCCAAGCAAAGAACAGAGAAAGAACAAGAGGAATATGATGAAGAGTGTGTTAAAGCAATATTTGGTAAAAAAATTGTTGTGGAGGAAGAAATTGTAGAATTAGATGAAATTGGAACCAGTGAGCCATCAAAAAAGAAAGCTAAAAGAAGTGAAAGGAAAAGTGAAAATAATAAGGTTTTGCATACAACAGAACCAGAAAAGGTAGTTGAATTTTTTTTGTTTAATTATATATAATTAATATGTTAATATGTTATTTATATATTAATATGTTATTTGTAAAAGCTAAAAAGGATTCTTTCATTTTTTATCGTAGCCTAAGAACAATCAAAAGATAAAACCATCTGAAACATCATTGTGGACTGAAACTGCATCATCATCATCGAATAGAAAAAACTTATTAGGTATAGTTAAAAGAAAAACAAATGTAGGTATCAAAGTGAATCCAAACCCTGCAGTTATCAGCCCAGATAATGGAGAAAAGCAAACTGTGACAAGAAAAGAAACAGATGTTTCTTTGGAAGAAAGTAAAAATTTAAATACAAGCACTGAAAATGCACATAACTCAACAAGCAGTTGCCATAATGGTCTCTCCTTACTGGGTGCATATTCTGGCAGCAGTGATAATGATAGTGATTAATACAGTGTTTAATATTGTGTATATAATTTAATTTTATAAAATTTATTATAAAATAAAATGTACATAGAAAATGTACAAAAATATAAATAAGCCACATCGAATACAAAAATATGAATCAAAGTGCACAAATAATTTTTGAACTTTTTTTAACAGATTTATGCATCGAATATCAAATCGAAAAAATCTTGCGAGCGATGTAGAATGCCGCTTACCAAAGGCTTAATGATTAATAACACAAAATAATCACGTTGATTGTGATTTAATTTCATGGAGACATTTACGTTGACGATGATTAGAAAGTTCCTTACAGGATGCCGAAGCCCTTACCCCTAAAACATAGAAAAACAAAATCGGTCAGAGAGATGAGAAAATTAGAGATCGGTCTGTTTCAAAGGCTAGGCACTCTGTAAGGAACTTTTGTATCAACAATATAATACTGATAACTCGGTAGCAGGGAGTACCTAGCCTATTAAATCAGACCATATTAACACAAGATTCAAATTTATTTACAACGTACATTACTGATAGTTCCTATATGAAACTGTCATTAAAAACCATATGAATTTTTATTATTTATAAATGGAATTACTTTCATTTATGAAAGCAAAAACATTTATAGTCATTAAATAACAAACTTATGTAATATTTTCAGAAAATTTAATTTATAATCCTACGTATGATGTATGACTTTCGTATTAGCCTCATTAAAACCCAAAATTCAAACAAATTGGAATTTTTAAGAGCACAACGAAACCAAGCCATTTAGTCCTACATTGGCAAAACAAATTCTTCAAAATTGCAACGAGATATTGTGTCTGTTGAATATGAACAGTGCCCTAATAGGAGAAACTATATACAGCGTTTACAAGATAAAACTATGAGGCACGGTCCTATTTGCCAACGGTGACCGAACACGATGCTGATGGCGATATTGGAAGCGTTCTCTCTGATAATGATTTTGCGACTCCCTGCTACTATCGTCCACGTTATCATATCCTCCATGCAGCTTGTACATTACGGAAAGGTGCTTTCTGTTTCTATCTGTCCGAGGTAAGTCATAAACATAATCGTCGTTCTGTAGGTTGCGATTATTCATTGAAGTTTCAGTTATTTCCAGGCTGGACGCGTTTGTCAACCAATTACGGAAAGGTTCATTAGTATTGTCAATGGAATCGTTTTTATTCAACCACGGATCTTTATTTTCCCCCACGGACGTTTCTTGGCGACAACGCTCACAGATATAAGGTTGGTCTTCGTCGGAGGATGTCTGTCTCTGGATATAGTCATTATCTCCGTAATCCTGTATTCGTCGGTAGTCATTTTGTGAAGGACCAATACCAGATAAGAACTCTGACCTCATAACAACTGAATCGGTATGATTAGAATGTGAAGAAGACTGCGAATGAAGTGAATCTTGTGAAAACATTTGATCAGTATTGGAATGGTAATCCTGCGATAATTTATCTCGTTCACTGTCCACGTGATACTTCATACAAAACGAAGAGTTTTCCGGAACGTACCGCTGTTCCTTACTCTTTTGGTAGGCCAACTCTAACTGAGCGATGCGATTCTCTAAACGGGTGCGTTGTGCTTGAGCCCGATCTTGGTGGTCCTCCATTAGCTTCACCATCTTCTCCAGTCGCATGATCTGCAGTTGCTTATTTTCTAGTGTCGTGTGCAGTTCCTGGATTGCTTTCGTTTTGGCGTTTATCTGTTCGTAAATCTGAACGGTTAGAAATATTATCCAATTTTTCATAGACAGCTTTATCAAGGATTAGAATGGATAATTGTACTTAGTATGCGTGCGTTTTGTTTCAAAATAGAAGTGAAAGAAATTTACTGGGATTTTTCTTATCCGAATTTTGTATTTAGATAAATGAAAAAATTGGGAAGAATATTCAGTTACCTGCTCAAGGTACTCATTGTTCTCGTCGCTATTTGATAATTCTCCATTCGTTTGTTGCACTTTTCCTTTTAAAATATTAAGCAACTCGTCTCTAAGTTTAAGGTACTTGCTCTGCTCGCGCATCACATAGTCACGTTGTTCTAGTTCCAATTGCTTCTGTGACAATACACTTTCTAGCTCGTCTTTCTGCTGCGTTACCTCTGCTAAATTGTTACTTAGATCGGACACCTGTTGTTGAAGTTCAATCGCATGTGCGTTTAGTCCAGCTTTGCCATGCTCCATGGACTGAGAGTGAAGTCTCGTCTGGATTTCTTTCAACTGCGTTTCTAAGATCCCATTTTTTTCTTGGCTAGATTATTTGATGAATAATCAGACAGATTATCGTTATTTATATATTTTTAAAAGTAACAATTAAGCGATTAATTAATTCTCGCAATTAATATTTAAATTCACCATCTCTTCGTATTTTAATACCAACACTAATGAATAGTGGATGATGAAATGTAATGGATTTTTAAAAAATCCGGGAAACTTACGCGTTTTTTGCTACCTTTCTCAGTTCTGAGTACTGCATCATCAGCTTCTGGAGTTCGTTGGACTTGAAGACTAGTTCCGCAGCCAGCTTCTCCCTGGAGTCTTCGTCTTCCTCCCGACTCTGGGCCACAAGAACAGAAAAGGAATAATTGAAAATTATCATCTCGTCATCGGTTGGAATAGAAGAACGTCTAACGAACGAAGGGATTGAATCGCGTAGTTCTTAGGACTTATACGAGGACATGTCCCGAAAGTAGTGCAAACTAACGGCCGCTTGATGCATCACTGCAATGATCTCCTCTTTCTCTTGTTGTAGCTGCAGATTCAACTGCTTCTGCACTGCCAGTTCGTCTCTGGTCGCCTGCAACTCGTTGAACAGACGTACTTCGTTCTCTGTATGACTACCCTCTGATAAGTGAAATGAAAGATTAATTAAAATTTGATTTGAGTTTAAAGACTATAGCTTCTGCAGCAACTAAGAAAAATTTAGTTTAAAGAATTTGCTAAACGGAGTAGAGCGTCACAATTTTAATTTAATTGTAAAAAATATGGATGTAAGAAACGTGGTATCATTTTGTGATTAATTATATATATATATCAATTATATATTATCTTATAATCTTTATTGGAAACTTGTTATATCTCATACCTGTGATAATGAAATTCTTATTCTTCTCAGCAAGCTCGCATAATTCTTTGCTCTTTTCTTCCACAATCTTGTATCGCTCTTCTAATTCCACGAATGCATCCTCTACTTGTTGCCTATGTCGCGTTAAAGAATTAATTTAAATAATATAGCGTAATCATAATATTACAAATAATTCTATTTATCTAATATTAATTTAAGAAGATACATTTTATAGTATAAGGAAAAAGATTGTCTTGGTACCTCTTCTCCTTTTCAACTCCAAGATCAGCAGTGACCGCGTTCAGCCTTTCAGACAGCTCCTTGATCGTGGCCATCGCCTCATTCTCCTTGCTGCTCATCTTTTCCCTCAGCTCCATCAACCTAAACCAGACCAGGTCAATATTCACGTTTCACAGACTCTTATCAAAAACTGGTGAAAACCACCTAGCTTCAAAGCTGTCCCTCTGCTTCTCCACCTTAGCGACCAGGTCCTCGCTATTTTTCATAGCCTTCTGCATGTCTTTCATCTTAGACTCTATGGCCAGATCCTTCTGCTTCATTTGAGCGTCCAGATTCTTCATGCTGGCCTGCAGCTGCTGAATCTTCTCAGCCGAGGTCTTCTCCTCGTTGGCAATATGCGACTCCAACTCTCTCACCTTGGTACGTGTCTTCTGCAGCTGCGTTTCCGCCTGTCGAAGACGATCCTTGGTCTGATTATTCTTCTCCTTCTCTGCCTGCATCTCCTCTGTCTTGCTGTCCAACTGCTTCTGCAGCTCCTTCTGAGCTTCAGCCGCGTTTAGCTGCTTTATCTTACTCCTGGAATGCTCGTACTCGTCGATTAAATTCTGCACATTCTTCGTTAGCTCTGATATAGACTTCTCTTCCAGCTCTTGCACTTCGTCCAAACGCGACCTAATATTGTCGTAGTCCTTCTGATGCACTTCTAGCTGCATGGACACCTCGGAATTCGTCTGATCAGCCTCGTTTCCCTCCCTGGTACTCTGAATCAGCTGCGACGTGACAAAGGTGACGAAGATCGACTGCTTGTCCAACAGCTCCTGGCAAATGTTCCTCAAATTCTTCGGGATCTCACGCAGTCGTTCTTCCAAGCACCCCAGTAGCTCCTTCCCGATTGGGAGCTTCTCGATCGTCGTGTTCGCTGATTCGTAGATCGTTGGCTCCGCAGGAGCGACCTGTTTAGGTGAACCAATGTCTAACTTCAGGGTCTCCGGTTTGCCAGGATCCTTCGCACCCATGTTGATCAGTTTCTCGCGGATCTGAGACATCTCGTTGTAGAGATCTTGCGCGGTTTCCTGTGGCAATGTCAATTTCTAGGTTCATCTTTGATTTCAAAGATCGTGGCTTGAGAATAAACCAATGGCAAGTGATTTAAACGAGAAAATGGAATTTTAATGATATTTTCGGCAATTTAATATCATGGTGTATACTGAAGAGAGTGTAACGACGAACTCTTGGCTAGTTTCCTTCTTGTGAGTCAATAATAGTTGATGGAATAATACTTATTGAAAAATTATTGGAAGTAAAAGTGATGTTAGGCTTTTAAAGATTTATTATTTTTCTATCCTACTGTACCTATATTTTAGAGACAAATTTGACAAAGGAAACAATGTACTTGCATTAATTGCAAACAATGGAAAAATATTGGAAAAATAATATATTATCCTCATTTATAGCCCAAGAGAATCAGGTCCTGTATAAACTCTAGGCTGCAAAGTATCGTCTTATTAAATTGATCTCTATGAGAATTTTAAGAATGTACTTTCGTTATTCGTAGCGCATTAAGTTTTAGTCGTGGAATGCAGGCTGAAGAAGATAATTACATGTTTGTTCGCCAACTCTTTCTTTATTTGTATATAACGTTTCATCAGGCTAGAGCTGAGCCTCTTGTTCGGAATGGAGCTGCCAAATAATTTTCCTGGCGTACGTCGAGCTGTATTGCTCTGCGATTTATTACCAGTGGTAGCATCTTCCGTGGTATTACTTGCAGAGTCTCCCTGAAATTGCCCGTCTTTTATAGTGCCCTGCATTTTATTTTTATCGACTACGAACTACCCTTCGCCATTTCCATAAGTCGCAATTACGAACGATTAAATTATTCTCGGAATTTTGTGCACATTTTAATTCCTTATTTATTTGTTACTGTAAATCACAAGTGAGTGGATATGCAGTACTATATTTTTCGAATTTTCTTTCGTTAATTTTATTGTTATAGTAATTAAGGGAGGTGCTATATGAAAATTATAATTACGAAGTCTGTAATAATAATTGTTCTCTTCAGGAAGAAAGGAAATTTTGGAAATTTTGGATAGTTAAATTAATTAATTAGAGCAATTTTTCTGCAATACGAACGTGAATCGAACTACGTCCTGATTGCCATGTCGGGGTTTTAATTTTCTGAGATGCGGAAGCACTCCTGGTTCCTGGACTTGACATCGCACTTTTTTCTGTGACACTGGTGGTCTCTTCGTTCTCTACATGTTAAAGCACATTTAATAATACAGAAACCTCTTACTATAGTATACTTATTTAATAATTATTCAATTATCACGACAAAAATAAGTTCGTACATACACACGTATGTAATCACACATATACCTCGATAAAAACGCGAATTTTTCCAAAATTAATGACAGGCCTCTCAAATTCAATTCCATGAACAAATTTTAAATTGGAAAAAAGAAAAATAAAATTGGTTACCAAATTGAGGAAACATTTAATTTCAATTTGCCACTATGCATCTAACATGCTGTGTATCACAGAATTGAAGGAACTTTCAAAATTTACACAAATTTTCCGCATGTTGAAACACGTCGAGTATAATTTCGGTATAATTCAAATAACAATACGAAGAATATCCGTCTTCTTGCGGTTTGGCATGAAAAGCCACGACGAAGCAGCCTCGTCATACTTCAAGGGGTTACTATCCCGAAAAGCGACAAAACTAACAAACCTGACCTCGCCGAAACCTCTCTCCCCACTCCTGTCAACCTATCTCACGCCAACCTGAAACCAACCTCCATTTCCACAACCGAAATCAAAGCCACGAGTAAAAGCTCCCTCTCTGAGCGTGAACAAAATTCGCGGAAAGGAAGAAGATAGGAATAAAATGACGAGGGAAAAAGGAGTGGAATCGAAAAGGAAACGATTGTGTCCAGTCGAGTCGTTTCCGAGTGGCGTGCACAACCTGATGGCTGGTGCGACGTCGTTAATTGGCTCATTATCGTGGTCGATGGCTGAGCGTGGCTGGGACACGGTGCTGGGGTCCGGGTTTCGACGGCTGCGACACGTGGACAAATTTGCGGCGTTCTCGGTGTAGTGGCCGGGTTTCGATTTCATGTTCCTGCCGGCCGGTAGGCAGCAAGATTGCACGACCGTCCACTCGTTCAAGACAGTCGACGACTTCGCGACATTGAACGCCGCCACCGTACGTTGCCTGTGGCAAGCAAAGCGCGGGACCTCAAGGACAGCGGTAGACGCGGGTTAGACCATCGTTGGGCATAATCGTGATGCGGCACACCGGTCGGCTCGAATGTCGGCTCGCGTTCCAGCCCGGGGGTTCCGTGGGGATGCGGCACGATGATTTAAACCGGTTCCGCGAAACGTCGAACCGCGAAAAGGGGAATGACGAGCGGATTAATTGGCAGGCAATTGTCGAGATGCGTTCGATACTTGGTTCAGTTCGCTGTGGACTGGTATTTCATTTTTCACGCGCTGTTTAACGATCTCCGAACGAGTTTTTATGGTTATACGCGCGTATGTGCATATATAGTCTGTATATATGTACATATTGAGTATAGTTATATAAGTACATCATATAACTACTAATCCAACTAATCTAACTAATCTAACTTATATATGTATACTACGTGATATAATATATATAATACACAATGTATAGTGCAGAATATATAGTATATAATATATAATTATATATAATCTTTATATATACTATTATTACATATTATTATACATATTATGTATGTATAATATATAATATAAAGAGGAGAATATATAGAATGTAATATATAATACACAGTATATAAAGCATGATATAATATATTATAAAATATACAGGGTGTTCTTGTTGACTTTTTGCGTAAAAAGCAATTTTTGAAATTTAATAATATAGGAACATGAAAATCATCAAATACCAAAAAAATTTTGTCTGAAACATTTTTCAGTTGCACTACTGGAAATAACTTGGTGAAAAATGGTGACAGAATTTCATTCGGACACTCTGTATAATATGTAATATAATATATAATGCATAGTAAATAATACATCATACGATATATAATATATAATATATGATGCATAATGTAATATATAATGTAAAGTATATGATATGTACAGGGTGTCCCATTTAAATTGGCACGGTGAAAAATTGAGTAAAAGATTTGTTTGAGGAAAGATAAATTAATACGTGGCTTTTAATATCTTAGTTGAAAATTTAAATGACATTATTATACTTTTTCATGCTTGCAGTTCGGGATTTGAAAGTAATTCACTGTAAATTTTTCTGTTAGATGATTCTGATATTTATGAAATTTGTTGTGATGGCACTGACACGAGACACCCTGTATAATATATTAATTATATGAGAATATTTATAATTTTGTTCATTTTATTTGAATTATTATATATTTGTTTGAGAATCATTTCGTTTTAGACGAGGGCTGCTAGAGTATGATACGAAAGTTAAATGTAATTTAAGATTCGAGTAGTGGTACGTAGTACGTAGAGTATAATTACTATTTTGGACAGGTAATTAGGGACTGCGATTTCATATAAATTCAGTTAATTTGTTATTTAAGAAACGTCAAATTTAATTATTTTAGGTGTAATTACTGAATTACTTGAATACCTTGATAGGCATTTAATTGTGATTTGTTCTTAATAATTGAATTCCCTTGACTTGAAATTGCATTATTATATTTCATCAAGAATTAATTAGATTGTACTCATATTTATTTATAACGAAATCAATTCCCTCGCCTTTATCTAATTTTAATTACAAATTTAATCACATACACGGAAAATGCTTTTAATTCGAATATGATTAAGTTGCAGATTAACGATTTCTTCGTATCGTATAGTTAGCGAGCAATTTAATACATTAATTGGAAAGTGAAAATGAAAATTATCCTACTCTTTCGAGAAGAAATATTAATTACTTTAATACGTAATAATTAACTAAATTACTAAATATTAAAAACTGCATATTTTTTTCTTTCAAGATAAAAAACCAACACGAACATCAGTCTTGAATCATTCGTTAATGACTGGTCTCCATTTCATTGTCCACGTGTCTAAACAGAAACGTAGTTCACATAGATAAATAAAACGCTATAAAACAGGCGCCACTATAATTACCAAAAAATGTTCACAGAGACTTCTCACAGCGAAGCAGACGAAACAGTTCAACCGGATACGAGGTCAGTCGAATTAATGGCGCAGTTTTTTAAAAGACCTTCTAGAAATATCGTAAATCGTCTCGAACCTTCTGTTCTCAGATGCTACTCCAAACTTCCGCGTTACGATACGTACATCGTAAATTATATACATTAAATTAACAACGAAAATGGAAATTCTAAAACTGCCAAGATAAATAAATTGGAAGGACAATTTATTAAAAATTAATTAAGAAAAAATTAATTAAGTTATATTAACATGATTGATTTCATCTCTAACAGAAAGAAGAAAATAATATGGACAAATCAATATTGTACAATAGATACATAACCTCCATTTGTTATTATTTTTCTTAGTTCATATCTATATATATATGATGTACTTAAATTCGATATGACTATTACAAAATATATAGAGAAACGAATACAAAGGAAAGAGAGAGGGATGACAGTATGCTGACAGAGGGATGTAAAGAAATAATTTGTAAGTAAAAGTATGGAGGATGTGAATGTGTAGAAATTGTGTACACAACTAAGTCCATTTCTGGGCCTAATGGCTGAAATTAGCCCTTTGCACTCGAGACCGTCAGTCGCCATTTTAATTTGATTCTAAAGATCGATGTTAATTAATATATCAAATTTAAAATTATCCAACGATGCGTGGAATGTTGAAAAAAAATAACTCTACGTCTTAATTTGTATACAATTTTTAAGTATCGTTGACTTTCTGGCAAGAAGTCCTCCATTTTACTATTTTTCTGTAAAAAAAAAAATCATCGAATGCAAAGGGTTAATAAATATATACATATTACAAAATATATAAAATAAAAAGTAATAAATTTCGTATTTTTCCACAGCAATAATTCATTAACTGACAAAGTGATTTACTAAATGTAACTAACAATGTCACTTCCATTCGAAACTGGTAATACGTGACATTCAACAACGGCAGTGTAATTATCGAAAACTACTATTCCATTTTTGTAACGTTCCATGAATATCCATCCATTTGGAAGGTCTCGTTAACGAGGAAGTAACGAGCGCAAGCATTTTGTAGCAAAAACTTCCATTGATTTTACTTTTCTATCAATGCAAACGGAAGCAGAAAAAGCGTATAACCAGCAGCGTTGAAATAACAAGAACCCATATGGAGCGTGTTGTGTCTGACCCTTACCGAAGAATCTCCTTTGAAGCACACTGCGCATACAGTTCGCGCAAGTGGTAGGTTGTTATTAACGCGCCTCGAGAAACGTAGTCAGTTGACCGGAGACTCGCGAACGCGACGGATCTATCAGATGTGTATTTCGAATATGCTTAATACACGTGACATGAAGCAAGAAAACCAACTGTTTTAGATTTGGTACACGTGTCTTCTGTCCTCGTGTGCAAATCATTCCGATCGTCGTCATGGTGAGTACCGAATTTTTTATTTTTTTACGATTAGAGTGTATTTGTAAGGAAATTGAATAATTTTTGAATGAGAATTACATATAGCTTGCAGTGCCGAGATAATTGGGTGCAAACAAAGTGTACATGACATATCAGTTGTCTCTCTGTGTTATATGAATTGTGAAAACAATTCTTCCTTTCCATATATATATTTTTTTTTTATTTATAATTAAACAGTCTAATTTAATTGCTTCATTTAATATCAAATTTCACGAAATTTTTTATTTTTTGGAAACATACTTTATATCATTTTAGAGTGATATAAAGTTATTTTATTTTTAATGGTATATTACAATACTTGCATAAAAATAAATATATTCGACATATTACAAAATAGAAGAGATAAAAGTAAACATAAAATTCGGAGTATTTAAAAACAAATAAGGCACTTTTACCAAAATATAAAAATAAGAGTCGTACATTTTTGTCCATACTTGAATATAAAATTGTAATTTATTTTATTATAGATACAATAAATAATAATATTATTTTTTAATAATTTATTATAAATATATTAAATAAAATTGCAATTAATTTTCAGTATTAAATACCGTCGTTAATTCGGATAAAAATTTGACAAAATTTTGATTTATATTTCATTCGTCATAAATGAACGAAATAATGAAAATATTACTAAAAATGGGATATGCTATTGATTTTAAGGGTGGATTTAATAAACGAGGGTAAAAAGTGATACGATCCTTTTGTGTACGGGCTATGTAAAAGGCATTGCTAGAGAGGAACGCTGATAGATGCAGAGGAAAGAGAGTTTCATTCTTCATTTCATTCCACTGTCATGCTAAATTGAAATACATGCGCGATGGTATATCTTCATTTTTTAAACTCGTATTCCGTCCTAATACAAGCATAGAAAGATAGATGGGAATCATGCAGAACTGTATCGACTTGATAATTTGACCTGAAAATCTGCAACGAATAATACGTTTCGTTTCACTCATAAAACTAGACACTTTCATATCTCGTGCACTATATTTCTATCGATAATTAGTAATTTCTTTGCCATCATTCATATGAGGATATGAAATAAAATTCCGATAAAATGAAATATTAATGATCAAAATTATCACTGTCTCTCTGTTTACACCTGTGTTTACAGACTTTCTCATACTTTACTTATTTATTATATTTACTGTCATGTTATTTCATATTTCTTTATAGCGAATATTATTGGGTTGGCAACTAAGTGTCAAAAAATCAGACGTTTTATGAACATGGAATTATGACATTGCCTGATTGAAAAAATGGACAATGCCTAATTGAATAAAGTTATATTTTTAAGCAAAAATTTAGTATTTTCCTTCTTATTTAAAATCCGCAATCACTTAGTTGCCAACCCAATATTTCATAGTATTTAATACCAGCAAGTATTGATATTAAATATTAGCAAATATTGCTGCTAATCGATGATTATTGAGTCTATTGTGTCTCCTAGAGTTTTAATACCATGTTTACTAAGATCAATTTTATTGTCTATTGATAAAGGTAAATTGATTACATCATCTTTCATACCTAAATTTTATTTGATAATATTTTGTACTATTTAACCCTTTGCACTCGAGAGGTGCCTCTCAGTCACCATTTAATCAGATTCTAAAGATGAATGTTAATTAATGTATCAAATTTACAATTACCCAACGTCATATGGAATATCGAAATAAAATAATTCTACGTCTTAAATTGCATACTGTGAGAGGAGTCTTTATTTGGATGGCATCACCCTGCATAGGGATCTATGTTTGCTACGAGGAATCATCCAGCTTATCAATTTTCGAAGCAGGACTGAGTGACGCAATGAGTCGTCATAGTCGTCATTGTCATCAAATATCGGCGACCTTATGGCAGAAAGTCTTCAAATTATTATTTTCCTGTAACGAAAAAATCGTCGAGTGCAAAGAATTAACTCTTTATCCCTTTGTTCAAATTTCGAAGATCGATATTAATTAATACGTGAAATTTAAGATACATCAAATAATTCTACGTGTTAATTATTATACGATTTCTTATCTACTGTTCAAAAATATATCATCAGCTTCATAGCAGAAAATATTTCAACTCCTACTGTTCTTTAGCCAAAAAATTGTCGAGTGCAACGGGTTAATGCCATTTAATAGTATTTAATACTACCTAATACTATTTAGTTATACTTAATATTATTTAATAATATCGTTTACGAAGTATAGTTAATAATTCGGGAAAATTAAATTCTCCGGAATTTCTTATCTTTCGTATTAATTGTATAAGATACATACCAAATTCCTTCTGAAGGAAACAAATAACTTGCATACATACGTACCACCCAACGGATCTACCTTCGAAGCGTTCGTGAAATCGGCTTTTACGGAATCATTCACGCACAAAGGCACTGCAAATATCGATTCGTTCGATAGTCACGATTTACCGAGTGTTGCTGGAAAAGGTCACGAGTGCAGCAAGGGTGCTAGCTGGCAATGACCCCTGATATGACTCGTCGTGACATTCTTTAAACTCAAATTGCACATTTCACAACCGTATAGAAAATAACAACGATCATTCTCCATCTATGCATTTAAATCGCCATCTTGTATATTGAAATTATGGGTAAAAGGAAATAACTATCGTTCTTTAGAATTATTTTTATTCCATTCTTATATAGGAAGGTATATCTTCTGTATTCTAACCGTACTCAGGGAGAGACGAAACTAGAATGTTGGAAAAGGGTATGCAATTGCAGCTCATACTGTTCATCTAATTCTTATCTACAGCGTGAAGTAAACACTTCGATAGTTCAAAATAGTATATTTACTATTAATAAAAAAATAGTATAGCATAGTTGAAAAACATATTTATTTCTCCTAAGAGATTGATTTTTGTAAATACAGACAAGTATTAGTAAGTGTTGGTTTTACATATGTGAATGCGAAGGAGGTTGAATAAGTGAAACTCATTTGCAATGATATAAATATAATATGTACGAGTGCAGTCTAGTATGAATGGTGTTTGGAAAAATGTTTAGAGAAATGTGTCAGAATAAAATAGTTACGCGAGAATCGTCAAAGAGAAAACATGAGTATGTAAGGGTTAATAAGAGGGTTAATGAGAGAGAGAGAAGAATTTTCTAGAAAGTGTCAATCATTTTTTTGTTTAAAATCGCGAGTTGTTTTCGTTATTTAAATGTTTTTATCTAAATAGAGATAATTATAAATATTTTTATAGAAATTAACGTGTTAACTGTTAAGGAACGTAAAAGATATTGGTGTCCATTTCTATCTTATTTTCAACATTATGTAATACAATTTATCTCATCCAGATATTTTTATTTTCTTTTTCTATATATTCTTTTCTTTCTGTTCTCTCTTTTTTGCTCTTTTTTCTCTTTTTCTCTTTTCCTGTAGTAACAACTTCGGGAATTTGGCATCGGTTTGTTACGAATTGTACGTAAATTGAACGAGGCTAGAAGGGCTGTCAAAAAATCGGAATGAATTTTATCGGGACGCACGAGAGGCAAATTATTCGAAAAAACTCGATCGCATTCATGAAAACTCTGCGACAAGGGATGTTTCGGTTTTTCGGCGTGAAATATTTGTATCTGGACAAACTGTGCGATATTGAAATGTTGCTGATAAAATTAGTCGTCCCTGGTGGAGGAATTGCATCCAGATGACATATCGAAATTATTCGCGTGGAAAGATTTCCACTCGAATTTGTTGGCAATCGGAAATACTAATACCGATAGTGTCATGTTAAGTGTAACAAGTACGGTGTTATCGAGAGCTAAAATGAGGATATTATATTATCTTTGAACAATGTAATTGTTTACGATGTACCAATATTGCAAATAATAAGTATTAATTATATCGACTATCGAAGATCGAAACTGTTTATCGTTTATTGTTTGACCGGCATGATTGATTATGATACGAATATTTCATTGTAAAATATAGAATAATATTTGCTGTCAAAGATAAATTTACGATTAAATTTAATAAAAGAAATTTTACTTTTTATTTTAATAAAAAAAAAATCGAATTTTATAGATACAGTGAAAAACAAGTGAGAATCATTATGTAGTTTCGTAACAAATCGCGTAATAAATGATTACTTAAGTAAAATTTGTTATTTAGTCTTCTTCTTATTTTTAATAAATCTTATATAATAAATCTTTGGTCGAAAAATTATCAGCTATTGGTATAATCGAATTTTTGTTTAAGTATGAGTATATACATTATAAATTTTAATTCACCAAAACTAAATTTTAAATTTACTTAAATTTTTAACCAGTTCTAACTAAATTTCACTTTCATTGGAATCGAACTTAAACTTCGCTTAAAATTTAAGGTAAAATTAATGGAAAATTTAAGCTCGGTAGGAATAAAGGAAATATCGTTAGTGATAAATTTGAAAAAAGAATTGTTGGAGTTACGTTAGAATTTAATAGAAACATTGTAACGAAGTAGATGGCGCGGCGGTTCGGCACGTGTTGAAGCGAAAATAAAGAGAAATGATGGCGTTCTGACGCTGTCTTCGTTAACGCCTGAAATTTCTTCCGAACTTCAGAAAACTGCGTTGTAAATGGTAGAAAACGTTGGAGCCGCAGTTTTTCTTCCAATATTTGAACGCTCATCAATCATTTCAGTAGAGAACCATGCTCCGCCATGTTCTGTTGATTCTCTTCGAAGAAGTTGCAAAAGATAAGACGACTTCTTTCGTTCACATCCGGATCTTGCCTTTAGCCTTAACTACCTTCCAATATTTCATGAGAAAATACAATAACCTTTGTCCTTGCGTGGGTTAATAAAAGAAATTAATACGAAATTGTTTCGATAAATAATCGGTTACAATAAGACGAGGTTAAAAATTATTTTTAGGTTATGTGACACTCCTTGAAAAGCTTCTTTTTTACTTTTCGTATAATAATTGTGTAATAATTGCCATGAGTAATTTTTATACTTATCTTTTTCCTT